TATTAGTGTTAGTCTTAGTATAAGTATTAGTATTAGTATTAATATTAGTATTAGTATCAGCATTAGTATTAGTATGAGTATCGATATTAATATCAGTATTACTATCGATATTAGTATCAATATTGGTATCATTATTGGTATCTGTATTGGTATCGATATTGGTATCAGCATATCAATAATGGCCTATACATCTTATCTCATTTGCAATATTTATACGTTGTATTGTTGTTTGAGTAATGTGCATCACTTAGTGATAGACTTGCAGGTTATTTGAATATCTATTGTATTACTTATATGCTAGCATATTTGTTGTTAAGTTAGTTATCTTGCAGAAGATTCACATGGTTTAGTAGACTGCATTCCACGAAATAGAGTTATACCATGTGTTTTAAATGATTTCACTTAATCTTCATATCGAGTTTTGCGCGCTTCGCGTTTTCTTATTTGTAATATTTAATTGAATTTCATATGTTACAACTCTGAATTAAGAGATAAAGATTATGTTTTTTTTTTATTTCCTTCCATTTTGTTTTACTTGAATTCGTGTTGTAATATTCGCGTGTTCTCATTTCAAAACTGACATCCGTGCAACGCACGGGCGAAGTACTAGTTAAGATTCAAAGTTACATATGAGATTCTTTAGTGTCATATAAAAGATAAATCTAGAATTTGAATTTAAAATTAAAGGTAAGATCATATTTTTATGTCGATATAATTCACATACCACTAAAATGCAACGTTTTGAAAATCGGAGAGGATAGTGACCCGGACAAGTTATTGGGTCACGGTTGGATCAGTTCAATCGGGGTCCAGCTGATTTTTTCATTTTATAATTATTCATATATAATTTTATAGTAAATAAAGTATATTTTCTTTGACACGTTGACTCATTACTCATTTCCAAATAAAATGTAAATTAAATTTATTTTACTTTTACACACACAACATATCATACTTCATTTCAAATATTATAGAAATTATAATAAAAAAATCATTAATTAATGGCAAAAAAAATATGTTATTAATTGGGTCTCAAATCTAAGTCCATAACATAATTGGGCTTTACAAATGAATTAATCCTTAAATAAGTAATAAATTCTTATTTTATGGATTATCTAATTGGATTCGCCGCGAATTCATAACATATTTGGATACGAGGTGTTTATACGTATTCGATTCAACAAAACGGCTTTTAAGGCCTTGAATCAATTTTAGAATAGGAGAGAAAAATCAGAGGATTTCACGGAAATTGTGATCCACTTTTGTTTTGATAATTTGTACCCTATTTTTCTTGTCTTGTATTTATAGTTTACAGATTGAGAAAATTTGTGGTTAACAAGTTCAACAGGTCAAATCAGATCGGACAAGACAGTAGTTCGCGGTTTAACCAGTCGTCTGATTCGGATTTTAAAACACTGCTTAAATGAGTGGTAGATACATCACAATTTAGCTCAACACATTGAATTTTCATTTGATTTTGTGTTACATCTTGTATTTTATCATAATGTTGCACGTAACATCAATAGTTTCGAATCCACTCGATTCTGAAGTTGATTTTTGTTTTTATTTATTTTGATCTTGGTTAGTAAATTATACGAAATGAAGAAACAAATAGAAATGAAGAATATCATCAAACGTTAAAAAAAATCGACGCAATATTATTTTCTTTGGATAATTTAATAGTTATTACTTATTAGAACTTCTCAATTTGGGTTTTTGCAAGAATCATCTGTGTGTAATCTTTAATTGCTGAAAAAATCCTCATATTAAAAATATTAGCAAATATCCCTTTATAGAAATTAGTCAAAGCTAATAAGGTCCCTACGAGTTAAATGTGTGTTGCACGCGCGGATTTCGCGAATTGGAGAAAAGACCAAAATACCATTTAAAACATAAATTTAGAAAATTATAAATTCACCCCATAATTTTTATAAGACTCAAAATAAAAGTTTCGTAATTTTCTTTTATATTTAATATTAAAGTAAAATCATTTTGTTTATTTGAATTGAAATATTTTATAAAAATTATTAAGGGTAATCATGTCACTTCATTTAAATCAAAAACCAATTTTAATGTGAGGAGCCGTGTGCTTTGTAAAACATAACATAGGGGCGTTGTAACTATTTTTTTTAACACAGGAATTTTTTCGACAATTAGATATTACACAGGTTGTGTGTGCTAATAACTCCTCCTCAATTTGTAAAACTAAAATAATACTAGTATTCTACAATGAATTAAGAGTTCCTAATTACAAAATTGAATCCAAAATTTGGTGGATAAATTAAATGAAACGTTTTCTCCTCAATCTTTTGGAAGAAGAAGCTTTAGTAACCAAATACCCAACTCCAATACACACTACCCAAATCCCCACATCCACCGCCCACCGCACCGCCTCCATCTCCGCCTCCACCTCCACCCCGCCATCTCCGCCGTCCATTTCCTCCTCCCCATCACCACCACCACAATCGCAGCACCAGCACTCATCCGATCCGATCTCCCCCTCCCTCTCCTCCGGAATTTCCTCCAGCTCACAGCAACCCCCTCTCCTCCTCCTCCGCCGCCGTCGCAACGCCGCCGCCATCGCCACCTTCTCGGTCACCACCACAGCGGCCGGTCCATCCCCGGCCACCGTCACAGACACCTCAGCATCCCTCACCCCGTCGACGACGACTACGTCGTCGTCCGCCGAGAGCGCACACTTGCAGTCAATCTTCCAGTTACTTTCTCTCTCATCACCACCATCATCTCTCCTGAAAATCCCCTTCAGCAACTTGACATCACCAGCGTAAATCTCGAACCTCGCCCCCTCGCAGGCCACCACCTTCTCCCTGCTCGCGTACGAGAACCCGCCGCCGGACGACAGCAGAACCCGGTGGAGCGTCACGAAGGCGGGCGAGTCGGGTCGGATGTAGGATCCGTTTATCTCGAGGAGAGCGCC